ACCTTGACCTATGACAGCCCAGCAGTAGGTCTTGGGGACAACCGATGCTCACATATTAGTTGAGCTGAAACCCTGAGTGGGACAATTCTCAGAAAACAATCAAATCTGACCCACAGAGAAAGGGGGAAACATCGCTCATTCTTCCACATGCACAACACACGTGTGATGCAACAGTTAGGGGTTCAGATAAAAAACATGTATAGCATGTACGAGGGGCACATGATCGAGAACATGTAGGAAAAAACTAGCCAGTGTCTTAGGGCAGACAGTACACGTGCACGTGGGCAGATGAGAGAAAGCCATTGGCAAAGAGAAAGTCGTCTTCAAAAACCAAGAGTAGACAGAACGCGGTGTCTGAGACCCCATCCAGATGAGCGAGGGCTGTGTATGCGTGTTCCCAGGTACTGTCCATATGTCTAGGTACCAGGCCTGGACAAACCATGCCAGGAAGTGAAACCCCACTGACTGATGCAGCCTGAAGCTGCTGGCAATCTCCACCGCGCACAGGAGTCACCCAGGGTCTTGTCAAATGCTGGGTCTCCCGTAGCAGGTAAGGGCCAGCCTGAGACTGTACTTCCCAAGCTCACAGGTACCGTCAAGCTGTGGGTCTACAGGCCACACTTTGAGCAGCAAGGCACTAGGGGACCAGGACACTGCCGATCCATTTTTAATTATTAAAAAGGAAAAAAAAAAATCTAATGTATGGTGAGGACAAACTGGAAGCCAAAGAATGTGTGACCTTCTTTCAACAGGAAAACCTTAGAAATGGCCATGCATCCATTCACAAGAAATCAGTTCCACAGATGATGATCCCCCAGACAACCGTGAAGAACAAGTGAGACCGGTAAGAGTAACCTAGAAAAATCACGGATATACACTGTTGGGGGAAAAAGGCAAATCAAAGGCAAGTGAACAAAGAGGTACACAGGCATGTAAGAAAATCATTCCAAAAAACAGAAACATACAGTTATTCCTGGAAGCCATCTCTGAGGATGGGAATACAGGGTGGTCACTCTCTGCACTGGCCATTCTGATCTTAGTTAAAGTTTGGGGGCTTTATCTTACAATGAAGGAGTATCACTTTTGTAATCGGAAAACGTACTTCTTTTTCAAGTGTTTTCTCAAGTCACATACGGGAACAAAGCCTGGAACAGAGCAAGGCCAGGATCACGGAACCTGTTGCCAGAATACATCACCCAAAATGTTCTTCCTGGGATAAAGGCAGCTGAGTGGAACACGGAGAGGGGCTGCAGCACTACAAGGTTCTTACGGGCAAGATGGAGAAATGAGAGATCTGGGGCTGCCTCAACAACTCGACCAGGAGATTAATGCAGCCACTCACATCTTGTTTAAAAACCAAGGAAGTCAGGGCTGCTGTGCTTGACACATGGCTGGATGATAAAAGTGGGCACAAGAGATGATGGTGTTGCACTGAAGAACAGATTGGGACAACAGGCCACAATCAATTTATTGCTGCTAGCCTCCACCACTTTGGGAATGACGGCTATAAATGGGAGACATTTTTATTTGAAGCCACCCATTTAGGCTAAAAAAGGAACTCTGGTGGTGTAGTGCCTAAGGCATCTGACTGCTAACCAGAAGGTCGGTGGTTCAAACCCACCAGCCACTCCGCAGAGGGAAGACAGTTCAATCTATTTCCATTAAAGATTTACCAACTTAGAAATGCAATGGGGGTCGCTTTGAGTTGGAATCAACCCCATGGCAGTGGGTTTTTATTTTTTTTTTTGGTTTAATAGGTCAAAAGTGACACTGCACCCTGTCTTGTGCCCTGACTGCAGTGGTACTGCAAGACTGTATTTGTTGAGAACTCTAGCACAACGGGTTGGCAACCTTCCCACTGTGGAGATCAAGAAGCCCAAGTGCAAGAGCCATCCCAGAGCACCGTGGCCTCGCAGCAGTGAGTAACCGCACAGGACAGGCGCAAGCTGAGCACACGTGCCTCTGACATGCCTGGCACACCCCAAGCAGCACAGCGAGGGAACAGCCACCTGTGGCACCTGACCCGTCAGTGTTCTGACAGCAGAGGTTGGGGACACAGGCAGGAGAGGTAGGGACTCGAATGCCACGGTCAGGAGGGAAGCAGTGGTCTAGCTGCTACCACCCCGAATGAAGCAAATCTCCAATCGTGGGACCCCAACCCAGTCCTTCAGGTGATGGACAGTGAGCCAGTGGGCCTGGCACCTCCCCCTCTCCAGGGACCTAGCCTTCTCTGAGGCCCCTGAAACAGCCGTCGTTTCCCCAGCTATCCTACCCTCACTCTGAGCGGCACTAAGCTACCTTCTGTATCTTCCTGAGCAGCCGTTTTGCCTCGTCTTCCCTGCCTGCTCTTACCTGCATGAACCTACGTGCACGAGGTAAGCATGTTCGTGGCTCATCAGTCATCTACACAGCTATGGATTCTGAATGGCAGCCAACCTTCGGGCTCTTCCACCTTGCTGTCGTTTCTCCAGGCACTTGGTCTCCATGACCAGCACTCTCATTCCAATAAACACTGAGCAGGCTGATGGGGAACAGCAAGACTGCGTGGCCTCTTCAGACTAACCTGATCTGTGCAGCAACCTTCTTTGAATGCAGCCGCTCGTGTGACTTAGGGCCACACCTAACTCACCAGCACCCTGCCCAACCTCATCTACAAGAACGTCATTGGAAATGGCAAACTTTTTTTAAAATCTTCCTTTGATGCTTCCTGCATCATTCAACATTCTGCCCATAGAATCCTTCAACACTGCAACGTGAGGCTTGAATTCCCTCTTCAGCTCGCCCAGCTCAAGCAGTGCTGAGCGTGGTCTGCCCCCGGCCTCCCAACTCCAGGTCCTTGCACACCTCATCACAACACTTCAGCTGGTCCTCGTGAGCCACCCTCATCTTGGCATGTCTTCCTTTTGTTTAAGCCATTCTCAAGAGCAAGCCCTAGAGTCTCCTCCGACATCCGCCTTGGTCTCCTCCAAACTGGTCAATGATTTGCTGGAAGTCCATGCAGCCTAGGTCTCTAGCATTTCTTCCATCTACCGCTCTGATAACCTTGCCCAAAAAAGGAAGCTGGGGGGGAGGGGACAGACGATGATGACGACACAGCTGTAACTCGTTCTCTAGGAACTCAGTGGTTGCAAATGAGCCTTCCCTCTTAGAAGCTATTCTTTCTAGAACATGACTGCAGATCAAAGCTAACTCCTGGTCTACTTATTTCCTCGCCTACCTCTCCTCCCTTTGGAAATTGGGGAGTCTGCTGTCTGTGGGCTCCCAGCATCTCCCCCACTCTCTGCAGTTGCTCAAGGACCAGCAATCGCGACTGCAGGTCTCCACTCTGGCTGCCAGCAACTCACTCTGAGAAGCTGGGCACCTGGGAGCCACTCACCTCCCCAGCTTTCTCTGACCCACCCTGTTCCTTGACTTTCCACCTTCTGTTTCCTGGGGTGACGCAGACACATAAAGGTGACAAGCCTTTGTCCAGTCCCAATGAGCTGCAAAGTGCACAACTCAACACAGGCTCTTCCCTCCCGCACCAGCCACGAAGCTCAACCTGCTTCTCTGCCCCCGGCCTTCCTCTGCTTTCTTCCCTCCTGGCACTCAGCGCACCCAGCATCCCCCCAATGTGCCTCCCTTCTGCTATCAAGACCACAAAAAGCAAACGCCTCTTTTGCAGGGCTTCCTAAAGCCCTAAAAAGTACGTCTGTGTGCTCCCAGCCTTTCATCTTCCTGACTTCGGCACTAACTTATGACTTATCAACTGGAAAGGTGCCTTTTCCAGCGCTATGGCCCCCACCACCCACACACATGGCCCAGCTTTAACCGAGAGTCCAAGCTCACCTGAGCAACTAAGCATAAGCATTCTTTCAGAAAACTGGAGACCCAGTCAGGCGGCCACCCTTAGGCTCAGGGGATGAGGCTGCAGCAGGGACACAGGGTGGGAGGGTCTTTTAGGCACAAAACAAAGTGGGCAGTTGCCATTCGTGACTCCAGCCCATCAAGTGGCTCCTTAGCAGTGGACCCCAGAGTAAGCCCTGCCCAGGACCTCTGCAAGCCCTTAGCCTCAGCTGTATGGCTGCTGCTCAGCCAGCTAGAAACCAGAGACTGGGCAAGTCTAGTGGGTCAGCACACCAACGTAAAGCAGAAGCCAACAGGACCCGGGGTCACCCAAGGCTTTACGTTAGTCTCGTCAGGCCCAACTCACCACCTTGACCCCATTCTAGGTATTCAGTCTTACCCAACACCAGAAACACTCTGGCAACTGTGCAGCACAACGTGTACCTGTCTACAGACTTGCATCTGGACATTCCCCAGAGCAGAGACAGGTCTTAGTACCTTCGTGTCATTTTGCCCACTATGCTCAGGTCAGGTAGTCCCTTACAACATACTCGAGTTAGGACAAGCTGTGTTTCTGACCGTCCATTTTCCATCTGAGTACATCTTATTGTTAGTCATGTGTATGACATACAACCCTGCAGCATGTAACTTGTTGTGTGATCATCCTCAGACATTCACTGGCAGGTATTCGACGTTGTGACTTATAAAGATGCCAACGACAAAAGGCATTCATGACAAAAAGCAAACAAAAATGAGCTATGTGACTTACATCAGGACCAACTTATAACAGTCATCAGAACAGAGTGCTGCCAAAAGCTGGGAACTAACTGTAGTCATTTGTCCCCCTTTAAGCTGGGCTCCAGAGGCCTTTCTCCGGCGGGAGGGGGGTGGGATGGGGATGGGGACGGGGACGACGACTCCCAAGCCCTTGTCATTTATCTACATAGCAATGGAGCAGGCCGGTGAGACATCTACCTTCAAAGGCATGTGGTGCGCTACAGCGGAGCCCGAGCCCAGGCCTTCACCCTCAGCCACTGTGCACGCTGCCCCTGGGGAAAACTGTGCAGGTCCCTTCAACTTGCAGAGGGCCTCCGTCTTGGGGCCACAGAGCAGGGAGAGCCATGTGTCCCTTCCTGCCAGCCCAGGTTTCCTTCCCCAGGCCCTGCCCCACTCACAAGGACAGCAGCAAGGAGAAGCCAGCGATGTAGAGGTTCCGCTGAGCGCGGAACAGCTTCATGTGGAAGTGCTCCATGGCCCCAGGGTTGTTCTGGAGGTTCACCTTCTCCGTCACGTCATCATACTTCCAGATCTCACGAAGGGCATCTGTGTGGAGCCAAGGAAAAGAGGGATGAGCATTACCTCCCCTGCGGGCAAACCCAGGCTGCAAAGACAATGCCAGCCTGAAGCCTCACCTCCCTCCAATCACAAGTTGCCCACCTCTACCCTCTGGCCCACACACCGGGGCCGGCTGGAAGCCCTGCCCCTCACAACTCCGCTCTTCTTTGCTCACCTCGGTCCCCGTCCCATTCTACCCAGACCAGCTTGCTAGATGCCTCAGGACAGTAAGAGTCCGAGGCATAGCTGGCCACAGGGGCAGCTCCCTTTTCCTAGGGGCCCCCCAACCACGTCTTAGTCTGGTTGTATCGAGTAGGGCCCTTAGCCACCCCACAGAGAGACCCAATGTCCTGTCAACGAGGGTGGCTGACTGCTGAGGAAACGCCTGCAGCCCAGGCGTCCAGACACAGAGACTGCCTCATGAAGATGCCAGTGTTTCTAAGCTTTCGAACAGCGTTTTGAAAAACTGTATACAAGTTGTTTTTTGTGAGTACAAAAGGCACCTGTGCTTATCATAAGGTCAAGTACACCACCAACGGAGAAAGTTGAAAGAAGCATCCTACACTATCCTCTCCGACAGTGTCTACAGCTAAGCTCGAATTGCCTGTGCGAGCCAGCTTCCCAATTGCTTTCTTTATTCTACGCACCATCTCTGAGATGATCTTAATGATGTGCTTGTTGTCCTTCTGTCCCAAAGTCCATGAAAGCAGAGATCATTCTGCAAACTCTCCAGGGCCTAGCACAGCTCTGGGTGCACAGTGGGCATGTGAAGAATTGTTGGATAAACGAACAAGCCTCTGTTCCTAAGAGCACCACTGTCGGACGCATCATGCTGGGGTTTGTAACACCTAGTCCTCGGTCTCCAACACGAAAATGGAATCCTATCACGCCAACTCCCGAGACACTTTCTAAAGCCAGTACATCAACATCTATGTAAAGAAGGCTCTTTATGGGCCCTCACGTGAGAGGGAAAAGCCATGGCTCTACGGGCCTCTCTACGGAGGGCGTTGTCAACCCTGCAGCAGAAACGAACACTCGCCAACCCTGTTGGCAGGCCCATCACCTAGTATATCGCTGGAAGGCAAGTTAGCAAGACCTATTATGAAGTTTAAAATCGTCATGCCCTCTGATCAAACAGCTTCACCTCTAGTACTTGATGCTACAGACACAGTTATGTAAGTGGGCATCGGGGTGAGGCCATCCATACAGGGACTTCCTTACAGAATAACTACAGGAAATATGACGAGAACTCCACAAAAGGTGAGACTGGTGCAAAAAGGTGTCAGAGATACAATGAATGACACACAGAACTCCACTACAATAGACGTGGAACCAGAAGCAAGACGTCAGCACAGAGAAGGCCCTGGTGGGAGTTCCTGTGGCACACACAGGGATGAACGGGGACGCAGAAGTCCTGGTGGTGCAAACAATTAAGCACTCAGCTGCTAACTGAAAGGTTGGAGGTTCAAGCCCACCTAGAGGTTCTTCAGAAGACAGGCCTGGTGATCTGCTTCCAACAAATCAGCCACTAAAATCGCACCGAGCACAGTTATACTCCGACATACGTTACGACTGTTACAGATCTAAGTTGATTCCAAAACACCTGCTTTAACTTTCTAAATTCAATTTCTAAATTTTTTAAAAATAAATACATGTTATTTTTCTAACCACAAAAACAAGATTTGAAAAATGTTTTCTTCCAACTGTACTCAGGAATCTCAACCCCCTAAGAACTGCCTGGAGCCTTGGTGGTGCAGTGGTTAAGTGCTTGGCTGTGAACCAAAAGGTCAGCAGTTCAAACCTACCTGCTGCTCTGTAAGAGAAAGATGAGGCCGTCTGTCTCCCTAAAGATTGACAGCCTTGGAGACCTTGTGGGCAGTTCCACTCTGTCCTCTACGGGTGCTGTTGAGTTGGAATCAACTCCACAGCAGTGGGTTTGGTTTGGGCTTTGCTTCCGTGAAGACCGACAGCCTATGGGGCAGTTCCACTCTGTCCTCTAGGGGCGCTGTGAGTTAGAATCAACTTGACAGCAATGAGTTTTAAGGACCATCTAGACTGATGGCTACTTCACTGCTAACCAGAGGGCTGGTAGTTCAAACCAGCTACTCCTTGGAAGGAAGGTTGGGCAATCTACTTCCATAGCGATACCACCTTGGAAACCCAAGGAGGGGCTGCTATGAGTCGGGTTTGACTTGACGGCACGTAATAAGAAGAGTGATGACACAAGTGGACAAGGGGTGGGGACATCCAGCACTAGAGACCCAGGCACACAACACAACAGGGCCCTCTATTTCACTACTCTGCCTGAGGTCAACAGACTCTGGATGCCTCATCACCCATGCTCGTGGCTAGTTTGGACCCAGGCCCTCCCCAACAAACGTTCAGGCTCCGCCCAGTTATTCTCACACTTGTATTTGTAGAGGGCTCTTCAGCCTTCTCTGCATTACCCTTCACATGGAGGTAGAAAGCAGCCAGTCATCACAGTCACATCTAGAACTTCAAGCAATTCCCTGACCCCCTTTGCCGACTACTGTGGTTCTGCCAGGCTCTCCAGGACAGCCCACCAAGCTCTCTGAAGCACCAACCCAGGCGGCAGGAACAAGAAATGTTCATTTGGGTTTTGGAAGGGGCAAGACATTGAGTGAATCGTCCTCAGCCTCATCCCACCCTTCCCTGATTCCTGCCCCACCATAAGACCCAAAGCAAAAGTCCACAAGATTCAAGAGTTCTGGGGCCTGGCTTTTCATGGATCTCAGCCCCAGGGGTGACCCACAAAGTCCCTATCCCTCCTGGCTCAGAGGCTGGTTACAGAGAGACCCCTAATTCGAAAGAGCTACCGGAGGAGCCTCTCCAAGTATTTCCAGAACACACAGGCATGTGAGCACTGGCATCCATCCTTGGTGGCCAGAACTGCTAGGCCACACCTGGGCAGTTCAGAGGCAGTCCTGCCTGAACACATCCGGCAGGCCTGAGACAGGGGAGGCCAGGTGCCTAATGCTGCCGCTAGTGGGTGGGGCTTTGCACCATTCCCTGAAGCAAGGCTCACTCCCCACCCGTCCCTGCCACGCTTGTGCTGCAGGTTCAGGCAGGGGGCTTCCGGCAGAAGAGGAGCGCTATGTGCCGAAGCAGGCAGCACAGCCCTGACAGGCCAGTCCTCCAGCAGAGACACGGCCAAACGTGCTACACTCTAAGCAGGGGGCGTTCCTGATCGTGGAGCAAAATAACTAACCTTTACCCACCAGACAGGCTTGCTTGAGTCCTCATCTTCACCACCGCCACATCTCCACATGTTCTCCTTCCGGTTTAGTGCCATCCAGGCCCTACTGCCCCTCCCCCTCAGATCCTCAGACCAGGTCATCTTCCAAGCCCTGAGTTGTAGACAATTCAACACAGCTTTATAGACCCTCAGAGCAGGAAGGACTCTGGGAGACCTACTAACCTAACCAGATCCTGAGCAGTCTAGGATGTGTCCCTCAAGACATGCTCCCAGATGACCATCTCCCCTCCTTCTCCTGCAGGCAGCCAGCAGGGCTTCCCTTCCCAACTGAGCTTGTGCGGAGGGAGGAGACAAGCACTGCCAGTGCCAATCAGACCCAGGTCATGGGCCATTTAGCTTTTCTTGCTTTCAGCAATGTGAGATGCTCATCCTAGGGCATAAAGAGACGGCCTGGACTAACAAGCTCATCCCACTGCTGGAGGTGTCACTTAGGGTAAGGCACTGCTGACAGCAGCACTGTTTCACGGACGAAGAGAGCCTCTTAACCAAGTCAGAAAAGCCCAACATGGCCCAGGGCTCTGCAGTGGGTTTCAACTCAGTGGTGGAAGTTATAGCCAAGACTTTAGGTCAGATGGCATCCTCAGCTACAGCTCACTCACCAACGACCAGCAGCACGAGGATGACAATGAGAACCACGAAAAAGGTGTTGCCATATGTCACTACCAACTCCACTAGGCGGGACTTGAAAATCTTCTGCCATCTGTGGAGGAGAAAACAAAACGGGTCAGGGCTGAAGAGAAAGTACACGCCCTGGGAGCCAGTTCCATCGTGCCCGCCCGCATCCCTTCCAGATGAAAACCGGTCTCTGCTGCTGCCAAGCTGTGCCTATGACACCAGGGCAAGAGGGTGAACGAAATCAAAAGATGCCTGCTCATGGGCAGAAATGACTCGGAGCGCACATTCCTAAAGAACAAGAGCTTACTCTTCCTGCATCATATCCCCACTTCTTGTTGTATCAAAAGCTCCCTCTCGGCATTATGGAAGTTGTTCTTCCACATGACCAACCTCGTTTCATCTCCACCTCCATCACCCTAGGACTATTACAGAACAAATCCCAGATGACCCACATTTTTATTCATAAATACATTGGTACAGACCCCTACTTTGGTCATGTTGTCAGAAGAGACCAGTCTTTGGAGAAGTATATCACGCTGGGGAAAGCAGAGGATCAGTGGTGAGAAAAGGGAAGACCCTCAATGAGATTCTCTCAATGAGATGGACTGACACAGCGGCTGCAACAATGGGCTCAAGCATACCAATGATTGTGAGAATGCCACAGGACTGGGCAGTGTTTTGTTCTGTTGTACCCAGGGTCGCTAGGAGTCGGAATCGACTCCACCGCACCTACCAACAGACCACTAAAAGGTAAGACCTTTTAGAAATAATGAAGGTAATCACAGCACCATGACCAGACGTCAAGAAAATCAGCAATGATCTCTTGACATCAGAGCCAGAGTCCAGTTTCTAACTGTGGCAACTTTCTGAACATGTAGTTTGCTGGTGTGACTCAGGACACAGCAAGGCTCTAATCCTGCATTTATCTGGTAAATGTCTTAAATCTTTCCTGTTCTAAAAGGTCCCCCTTCCCTGTCTGGTTTCCTTTTCCAATTTATTTTTGGAAGAAATGAGGTTATTTGCCTTACAAAGTTTCTCAGATTGCGGCTCCGATGGATTCCTGTCGGCTGCGTTTCTCCTCAACGACAGGAGAGGAGAGTAGTTGTGGGTTTGGTTTCTGGCAAGACTCTGCTCTGGTGGGTTGGACACTCCCCAGCGTGGCACATCAGGAGTCTGTGCCTTTCACTAAAACAGTTTGTTTAAAAAACAACCAACCCACCCACCTAGGGAAACTCAACCTTATTCATAATGTCTTAACTTCAGCGAGGATGATATGTTCCTGTATTACATAAAACCAAAAAACTCATCCAGGATGAACTTTCACCAGGTCCTCTGTCCATTCAAAGGGAAGTCAGCTTCAGGCTGAGTAATGCTCATGGGGCAATGCTAGGGAGACCAGTTAGGAGGACAGAAGTCACCAACGCAGCAGCAACGTGACCCTGTGGTGCAAATCTTCAGGATGCCAACAGCCCTGTCCCACAGCCCTGGGACCCCAGGGTAGGGAGGCGGGTGTGACTCCCAGAGTCCTAACTAGAGACCAGTGGTCTTTTCTTTGGGGCTCTGAAGATCAGAAAGCAGAGTACCCAGGAAAGGAACTCAGCCAGGCGTGACCAAGCAGAACAGCCCCCTGGTGGAGGGCCTGTGATGCTAAGCACAGCCTCTGCCACCCGCAGCCCGGACAAGTTCTACCTGTTCCTGCCTGCTCCCAGCTCCAAGGCCCACCAACTGTACACAGAAGCCAGCGGGCCCGGGCCCAGGCCCGGCTCCCCAGACCCTACCTTTTTGGAGAAATGAAGGGAATGCAGAGCAGCAGCACAGCAAAGACCTCCGCGTACAGGAAGGTGGCAACGGTGGTCCACTGCAGACTCATCCTCCGTGGCCAGACAGTTCCCAGCAGCGAGCACGCCTCCTGGCACCACAGAGGCAGAGAGTGGGGCGGTGGCTACAGGAGCTCCGGTGCCCTGAGAGGTGGGGCAGCCACCCTGACCCGGGCCCCCTTCTTGGTGACTGCTGGCCCAAACAGATGCATCTCTGGGGGAACTCCCAGCCCTTAGGCCTCTCTGCCCTGAGGCAAAGGCCTCAAGTTGCAACAGAGCGCTTGCTAGGCCAGGGACCTGCTCAGACGCCATCTGACGTGCCCCCTCTTCCAACCAAGCGGGGCTTTCTCCAAAGCGGGGAGGCGGCGCCCCGCCCCCCCCCCCGCCACCTCGGGGAGCCCGGAGGCCCTACCCCCAACCCTTCCAACGGGCCCAGAGAAACCCAGCAGCCCTCCCTGAGGCTGCAGCAGGGGCCGCAGAGGGAGGCCAAGGCAAAACCAGCCTTCCGGCGGCGGCTGCGGCCCCGAGAGGCCTGGAGCAGTCGGGGTGCCTCAAACAAGGCCACAAGAGCGACTCCTAGAGGACAGGAGGCAGGGCCAAGGGAAAACGGAGTGCTCCACTGAGCACTTCAGGGCCCCATCCAGAGAAAGTTCGAGAAAAATCAGTCTTCTAGGAAACCAGAGGTGCCCTTCCTGGCAACCAGACCAGTAACCCCGGCCTCACCCACCGCAAGCTCGAGGCCCTTCCCGCTCGGGCCGGGCTGCCTCCTGCGGCTCCCGACGTGGCCCAGGCCCCGCACGACCGCCCCGCCGACTCGGGACCTCAACCCGCTCGCGGCTCCACCTCGCACCCTGCCAGCTCCTCTGGAAGGCTCGCCGCCCGCGCACACCCCGGGCTGGGCTCCGCCCGCAGACGAAGCCCCGCCGCCCGACTCCCGAGCCCGGCGCTCTGGCTCTCCTGCCGCACTGGCGGAGCGCCCCTCAGTCGCGGCCCTTTCCCGGCTAGCAGCCCCACCGCTCCCGTCCAGGGGCCTGAGGCCCTCGGCACGCAGGCCGCTCACCGAGCTTCCCACAGGCAAAGCGCACGCACCGCCGCTGCCGCCGCCAAACTCTCCCACCACAGCGTCGG